TATATATTGTTATTATTATTATTATTATGTTGTTTTGTATCGCTATTACTGTTAATATAGACCTATTATAGATTTCGTCTTAGAAGTTTATTCTCGTTTTGGTTTGTTTGTTGTATGGCTAGGCACAAAAAAGACTTGAAATTGAAGAAAATGAATTTGCAAGTAATATAGAGGGCGGTACAAGTCAGAACAGCAATCACAATCACAATCTGGATAGTAACAACTTTAGAAATGTCGAACCACTGGAAACAACCTCACTCATCGAATCAAACAGATTGGGCCGCAAAACAATACTCATCCGAATTGCTAACTTTGCTATACCACTGATTATTTGTTTAGTTGGTGTTGCTGTTTACTTTCTCTGATTTTTTAAATCAAGGAATTCAATGTAATATGGAGTACTCAATTTAAGCTCTGCTTACTGGGACTTCTGACCACGTTCTCTAATGTATTAATGCAAATGAAATAAATTGACTGATTGATTAATTGATTGATTGATTAATTGATTGATTGATTGATTGTTTTATTTATTTATTTATTTATTTATTCATTCATTGAGTATAGACGATTTTTTTTAAAAATTAAGACGTTACTAAATATAAAGGCAAAGTTTTAGGCAAAATAAAAATAATTGCTAATTTTACGTCTACGCATTTATCAAATTTTGGAGCCTTATGTACTCTTTGCTATGTAAAAAAAAATCATTTCATGGAAAATAAATATAATGAAGAGCAGAAAGATTTTTAGAATAAGATAAGGTGGAAACATACCAGAGTATTTTACTTCTTTTTGATAAACACAATATTTCATTATTCACCATCCTGTTTAGCACTAGCATATAGGATAAATAGTAAAGAACAATTTATTGAATACCCTCACCAAAAAATTATTTCTAATCCCGGACGTGAAACTAACAATTAATTTGTTGGGCCTTATTTTTAAATAATTTATAATTAACTTATTTTCATAATCTAAATGACTATTATATTTTAATTAATTTAGATTATTTAAATTCATATCACATAGTTTGATATTATTTACCAAACTCATATTTTAAAATAAAAAAGTGTATTTATTATTCGACTATTGATGTTTGTTGTAGACCTACATCAATTCAAATAGGCCTAAACTTAAATCGAATGATATCAAGCGTTAGTCTAGTTTACACAAAATTACGGTGTTCATTGAATAAATTCATTTGGAGTGATAGTAAAATAAGTAAGTTGATTGTTTTGTTGATTGTTTTGTTTTGTTTTATTTCATATCAACTGTTAAGTCCCCAAATCTATGCCTAAGGAGTTATGAGTTACCCAGAGCGCCCCCATAGTTATATATGAAACAACTTGTGTTAACTATCTCACATATCTGGGGTTAGATAAGAAGGAGCAGGGAGATGAATAAATTAGGGAAAAGAGTGCCTTTTTGCTGCTTAGAGGTACATGTTACAATGACTGGTAGCCATATTTATGAGGATTAAAAAGACAGTATTTTTGGATTCAGATAGGTCTGAAGCTACAGTATTGTGGTCTACGGAGTGAGGGAGCAAAAATTCACGGTAGGAATCATACCTCACTTACAGTTTTAGTTATTAGTAGATAATTTATGAATGATTAGGTATAGGGCTAAAGTATTTAGCTATATGTTAACGTACTGATGTCATGCTATGCGCACAGTAACCAAATAAGAATACTCGAAATCGTTGGTAATATTACACTATATTACGGTATTGGTTGATTGTAGGTTGTGGCCTACATTGCTTGTTAATTCGTAATGTCTACCTTTTAATGCATATAGGAATGTATAAGAATGATTACCTTACATATTAATACAATGAAAATATAGGATAGAATACGTCAGTAAGGCTGTACCTCTTATGGTATACCTCTTGATTAGGGTGCGTTATTTTAGGCAGCGTATCGAGTGCTGACGTAAACATTATAGCCATAGCACTATGTTTATTACTTATAGTAACGTATTTCGTATAAAGGCAAGGTATCATAATATACTGCTATCCCATTTAAGGGTGGATTATTGGAATTAGATTAATTAATCGAAACTTTGTAATACAACTATCTGCTATTCTTTTTAGTATAATTCATTAATATACACGTTTTAAATCTTTGTATGGATATCGGTGTGATTGTTTAACTTACAAATAATACAAGCCTGGCTTATAATATGCCTGGATTAGACTGGTTAGAAGTTGCATTGCTATGTTATGTTTTTATCTTTGAATTATAGCAACGGTGTTCAATAAAGTTTTATGGAAATTTGAACTCGTTTTCGTGACTCGTATCTCCGTCCACTACATTATTTGCGTGAATTTTTGCGTGAATTTGGTCAACTAGGAAATCATGTCGACGATAAGAAGTAGGCGATCATCGACCAATTCATTGAGGCTGACTGCCGCACAGGCGACGGCAGAACTTGTGGCGAAGGCCAAGGAGGCTTTCGCTAAAAGAAAAAAGGAAGCTGCAGCTGCATTGGAAATGATTGAGTTAGAAGAAGAGGTGGAGCTCAAAGAGGTGCAGTTACAGGTGCTGGAAACAGAAATGAAAAGAATGTAAGAAGAACTGGAGGAAAGAATATCAGATTTTAATGATCTACCCAATTATAACAGAATGGAGAAATTTATCAGCTGCGTGCAAAACCAAGCCACAGGTATACAGGAGCCACAAGATGGTGTGGATGTTGGTGCAGTGCAGCCAGATAATCAGGAATTTAATGAGGAATCTACTCTCAGAGCGGAAGGTGTATACGATTATGGTGTACATAGAGTTAAGAGAGGTGCGTAGACAAGGATCACTACTACTCAGAACAAACCAAGCATCAACAAGTCATGGATGCACATCAAATGCAAGGAACATTACTAGGGATAAGGAATGTACAATATACTCAACCCAGTATAAATTATTGTTACTCACCACCAGGTCAGTTGTTGTTACCTAGGGCAGCACCATGGCATCCTATGTCACCACAGTCCATGGCATGTAATATAGAAGTACCAAAGAGCAGCCCAGTGCCACACAAATCCAATGTCACCGTAAACCCTTCTGCAATTTCAGACGTAACACCAGATGTTTCGAATCATGGTGGAAACAGTCCACCGTCAAACGGACCCATAGATGGGGTCGGTCGGGCACTTTAAGCTCTTCTGCAGAAGCAAGGTGAAGTGTTTGCTCAGTTTGCAATACAGTCTAGTCTACCAAAAAGAGAACTA